TTCACATTGTACTTGTGAATAGTGAATATTAATAAAATAAATTTTAATAACTTTAATAAAATAAAATAAAATAAAATTGTATAAATAGATATTTAAATATATGTAATGCATATAAAACATATTCAATAATTACAGCAAGTTATTTTTCTCTGCTTTCTTTTGTTTTTGTTTCATTGTAATATGAAACGGTCGTTTCGCGGCCGTAATTTAATCTAGCCTAAAATAAAAGATGAGATCTGAGATATGGAAGAATAAAACCTTTTGTTTCATCTTTCTATAAATTAGCTTAGTTGGGTTAAGTTAAGTTGCGGTTGCTTGACTACGTCACGAACAAACCAAAAAATCCAATTATCTCTTAATCTTGTAATATACATATGATAATACGTATGTAAACAATACTACAATCGTGTGTGTACTATGTTCCACTATAGTGAAAAACAGAAGAACGAAAAGTCTACGAAAACGTTTTCTAAACTAGTTCCTTGTGAATCAACCGACTCTTTCAATTGAATAATTGCATATTAACTGTTATAACGCATGGTTATGGACCACCAAGTGATCTAATATTATAGCTCCAGACTTTATTATAGCTTCGGACTGGTTTTAATCAACAGTGTGAAAAATAATTATTCCATTTATTTTGTTTATTTGCATAATTGTTCCTAACGACATTGTTTCTTTTTGAATTACACCAACTAATTTAATCACACTAGCTAAAATCATTTGATCTCTTGTAAACGATAAAAATAATCTAGACATTTTGCTCGTCTATCATTTATTCTCTGCTAACATTCATACATTGTTGTTTCATTTCAATCGCCAATAATTTCTTTTGAATACAAATTTATTATATATAAGATAAGGTTTATTATTTATAATAAAGATTTTGAATAAAAGATTAATCAAAGCGGTAACATATCAGTTACCGAATATTCACAAAGAATGATTGACATTGTTTACTTTAAATAAAACAAATATGTATGATATATCTCTGTTGTTATTTAAGATATTTCGATTATGAAGTATAAATATGATGGTTATGAAGCTTTTATTTGCTTTCTTATTTCCATTTTTTCCTTTATTACATCATTAATGTGAATTCAAACTTTCATGAAGATTGTATTTATTAGTGTCTGAAGAATCGCTATTTTATATATGCTAAAGGCATATAAAGTATTACATACATTTAAGCATTAAAGTATAGTATTATTTTCATCATTTTAATATTTCTTTTTTATTTTGTTGTTTTGTTCCAATTTTTTATCTTGTCATAATTGTACGGAACTTTGTTTTTAATATTTCGGTTTTACTAACGACAACGATAACTATATTTTATTTTGAAGCACAATATAATGTGGTAGATTTGATAAATCAACCTTAAGCAAAATTACAAGATGCCAATAAAAATCGTAGATCGTATTTTGACAACAAGAAGCATTGGTTTACTTATTACAAGATTGCATGATATTTTTGCACAAAAAAGCTAAAATTAAGGGATTAGATTGAAACTCTGTTTGAACTAACAACAATAAAACTTTGCCTTCGAGAGAACTTTTCAAACGTTAATAAACGAAGTTAGACAGTTTTATCATAGAATACAAACATATTTCTATCCAAGTTACACGTTTCATAGATTAATATCCAAAACTTCCTTTAATGAATCTACTTTATATCGCTATATTTTTACTTTAACTATTACTAATCTTTTACAAATGTAAAATTTTTATTTTTTCCAATTTTTCAACATAAAGATTAATTAATTGATCTTAGAATATATGTTAATTAATAGTTTTCTGTATAAGAACTCATAAGTTTTTAGATTCTTTAGTTTCTAGCATCCTATATGAAATATAGATATACAAAATATAAATATAGATGTATCTATATAGTCTGTATTTTTACAATTCTTTTATCATGTAGCCGTCCTTAATTATATGAATTATTCTAACTTTCG